GCAGGATTGCTGAAAGTAGTTTTTTTTATGATGGTGTGTAAAAAACAAGGGACTGTAAATTTGGAAAATTCGACAGAATGGTTTTCTTAATCTTTGGACACACTGAGTAACATTCTCCATAAATTTCAAATTTTGTTTGCCTTCAGAAGTATACTTACTTTTTTCTTTTTTTTTAACTTCCAACCATGAAGTCTGAAATGTAATTTTTGTATTCTTCTTTTTCAGTATTACTACAGCAATGTAGCCAAAATGTCTGAGACACCAGCAATGGAACTTTGGTAGATCCACAGTACAGAATTAAGTCCTATGTAGCAGTACAGCATGTATTTGAGAGAAGTTTTCCTAAAAGTCACTGTCCTTAGCTGGTTTTAATCAGAAAATCTATTTTATATGTTGACAGCACTGAGCTTCCTCTAGGAAGCATAGCCCTGGTGAAAAGCAACTAATACTTCTGTGTCTTAGTTTAATATTCCTGCAAAAGTTATTTTTTCTAAAAAAGTTCCATGTCTCCTCTGGTCACACACAGCTTTTATACAGAAGGGAACAAGTACTTCTGAAAGACCACATGCAGGAAAGGTTGGAAATTTCTACATCTACATATTTGGATAGTTGCAGCACAGGAATCAACAAACTAGTATTATGTACCACTGTGGATATGTTTGGATGTGGGGGCTTTTTTTTATTTATTTATTTATTTTTTTTTTTAATTTTTTTTAACTACATTTAAGTTACTGCTTGGCAACATGGCTTTCTGTATTCAAAGACTTGGTTCTGTTAGGCTGTTCAAAAAGAGAGGGAAAAAAAAAAAGGAAAATACCCTGATCGATTTTGTTAAATTTGTTGTTCTGCAGAACTTTTGTAGTCTAGCCTAGCTCAAATGAAATTCAGCACTAGTATTTTTGGGTTTTTTAGTTTTTCTCTCTTTGTATTGCTGGATACAAATCTGGTAGATATTGCTAGAATCTGATAAGTTCAGAATAAAATTACTTGTCAGTAAGATTACTTGTTTAAGCAGATGCCAGTCTCCTTCCACAAAGAAAGGTGAAAAGGGAAGATGCAATATAAAGGAAACAATTGTAGTACCTGGACACAGGTGAAAGAAGGAAAAGGTGCATTTTTGCTGTCTTTCCTTAAATAAGTATAAGATTGCAGATACCTGGTGATTTCAGATGTATACAAAGTAGATGAGAAATGAAAATTACTTAAACAGTGAAAACAGGTACCACACACCCACACGTCATTACCTCCCCTGCTGCTGTGGTTGAAGAATATCCAGCAGAAGCTGCTTCACTTCACTAGGGGACATCTGGTATAAGTCCTTAGCTGGCATATCCCCAGCCCGGATTTTCAATTCATACTTCATAGCATGGATAATCCATCTAAAGTAAAGCAAAGAATACATTTATTAATTAAATATGAAATTTCCAAAGATGAAAAATTAGTCTAATAAAATAGCTCATAAGAATTCCATATGATCTCGCTATGTGCCTGCCAGGACAGACATAAAGTATCAAACAAATACTCTACTACTCTTACTGTATTGTGGAATTTACTCAGATTTCGTGTTTGTTTGCAATATGGTACAAACTGAAAGGAGTAATGCATTAATTTTAAGAAGTGGGTTGTGATGCATCTTTTCAGAGGGAGGATATATTGGACCACATATTCTCTTACGTCCCATGTTCATCAAGACAAGCATTTACCTGCCTTTTGATGTTAAAATCCTACTCAAAATGATGCTCTGACAGTGTATGCATTTTGCTGATGAGTTAAAAAAAAACCCCACAGCACAAAACCCACATTAAATTTAAATTATTTAACATTTAAAAAGACTTCGGGGCTTTTTTATGGTTTTAGCCTTTGAAATTCCTTCTTGCAACCTACTATACTTTTCCTTGTTTTGCTACTCCCTTTTGAAAAGATTTGATTAAATAAAAATATGGCACCACTGAAGATTTCTCAGCCTTAGGTATCAGAGAGGCAGAACTTTGCAAATTACTGAAGGAAAATGCTGAATTTTATTCTACGTATTACTACAGAAACAGCACTAGACCCTCTAACATCAATGATGAAATAATGTATAGCTACATCTGAAGCAAGGTAACTCAAGCATGGAGCTCAGTCTCTTACCACCTACACTGCTTCAGTTCAAGCAGGTATTTCTAAGAAAAGGGAAAAGAAACTTCACTGTTTTTTCTTTGAACAAGCCATCGTGTAACATCTGATCAAGTCAGTATTACATGAGAGAGCCTTGCTGTCTTTATCAGAAAATGCAGAATACTCCTAAGAGCATTACCTTGTCATCAGTATAGCCACATTCCATGGGCATTTATTTAGCCTACAAGGTACAGAATGTTTTTGATTATGTAAGTCGAGTCACAGTCTTTTCTGAAGGATTCTTAGGATTCACGGAACTCACAGAATTCTGAGATGTCAGGCCAACTGATTCAATATTGCTTTCAATTTGAGGTTTCTAGGACCATTGAAGGTGCAAGATACAAGAGATAATTAGACAGCATGAGCATTTTACATTATCCAGAACACAGAACTTTTATTTTAGTGGGTGAATAGTGTCCTGCTCTTGTTGCTAAGATTAACAAACAAAACTGGCTTAGGAACTGGTTCTTTTTTCACTGATGACTCAGATTTTCTGTGTGGAAGTCATTCACTGGTGTTTTCTCTTTGCAGTGGCCTACAAAACATAGCAAAGTCAAGTGGACCTGCTACCAAACTCTTCATTTGTAAGAGGTGGGTAAAAGTCAGTTGGTTCAAGTTTTCTGTACTAATAGGGCTGTCAGGCACTTGATCTATTTCAGTATGAAATCCTGAAAACAAGTCAGTAACAAGACACTACATCAAATTATTATCGAACTGGAATTGAGTTTCTGTTTGAGAAGGTTAATTTTGCTCACTGGAGTGGGTGATTACACCAAAATAAAGGAAGTGGAATCTGTAGCACCAACCTTGGAAGACAGAAAGAAAAAACTTGCAAAAGGGATTAGCTACAAAGAATGAGGAAGTGGATGAAAGAGGAGTAACATGGGTCTGTAAAGGGTACAGAAGAAGTATGTAAGTGCAAAAGGATAGATGTAGATAAATGTAATACAGGTGATTCAAATTTGGTTTTATGGTAACTGGAATGCACTGCTGAAGTGGAAACATGAATCTTGTGTGCTAGAAAAAAGACTGCTGGTATCTACCGCCAGTGCTGAAAGGCTGTATTTTCTCTATGAAAAAATCCAGAAGATGGAACACTTACTTAAACATGCATACTAATTCTGTAAATCTCAGCCAGTAGCACCTGGCCTCTTCAAATAAGTGCTTATTCAAATGTATGTCTCTTCCTAAATGTGAAAAAATAACCAATTTCTGGATAGCAAAGTAAATGCAGATACCATGGAACATGATAACACTCCAGCACAGAGTACCTGTAGGTCACCTTATCAAAGAACTAAATAGAACAATCCAGTAGGTAAATGATGTTTTAAACTTGGTTCAGGTTTGTGATTCCTGAGCTATGTATAGCTTAGCCTAACCTATTTAATAAAGAATTGGACAACTATGTAGCTAATGAACAGTCAAGAAGTGTTGTATGTATCTATAATTGGGATACTTTGCAGCTGGGCAGGGTTGCTTGGGGGTTTTTGGAAGAAAAAAAAGACATTTTTAGCAACCTTATAGGACAAATCAGATTTTTCTTTTACCATGGCAGTAAAGCATTTTTGTGTAGAGAACTGCTCTTGAACTATGTCTTAATTACACCACATACCAGGTAGGTTCACTGACTATCAATCAGAAGCATCCCTTGGTGCCTTAAAATATTTCAGGAAAAGCTGTAATGGTAAGTACATTCAAACTGCAGGAGGCTATTATTACAAACAGTCTAAAAGAACCAACTATCTTTTTAGGCAGATGATTGTGCTGAAACTCTGAAAAGAAAGTTTAAATACCTTTAAAGAGTTACCAAGGGATTTGTTGCTCATGGTTGCCAGACTTCTAAGACTGATTTAGACAAGTCTGTATTGTGAGGTGAGCACTTACTAGAAACCAGAGAATGCAACTAGAAGCATATGTTGATCTGGAGGATAATTGTGTGGTTTCAGAAGGGAATCAAATTCATGCTGCATCCTTCCTAGATAATCACATTTATGTAGTCTCTACCCTTTACTAATTTGCCCCAAACCTACGTGACTCAGGTGACTGCTCAACTGACCAAAAAGCTTTTAAAGGCCTCATGTAGGAGCCTTAATCCTAGCCTGCCTTTTTCCCTCCTTTCTTCCCTCCTCAGGTCCTGAAAGTCTGACAGTAAAAGCTTTTACTATCCTCTCTAGCTCTCAGTTCCTCCCTCCCTGACAATACAGTACACCCCTACTCTCTGGCCATGTCCCTCTAACCTGCCTGATAGGTGGGCAGGCAGCAGCGCACTGAGTGTGCCTTTGCATTACCCGTGGGGCACTGTAAAGGATGAACCAACATTTGGTTTTGTGTAATCCATTGTGCTCCTAGGACACTATGTTGAGATCACATGTTTACCACTAATGAAATATTTGCTAATTACCAGCCTTAAGCATGCACATCACACCTGTACCTAGTACAGAATAAAAAGATTTCTGTAGAGATTGCCTTGCTGCCCATGGACAGAGAGCAAACTGTGGGCAGACTTTGTATCCGCTCTGCAACTGGGAAACTCTGGATAGCACCCAGTGTCTGCTGCCAGGTAGGAAATTAAGCAACTTGTCTCAGGAGCACCACTAATACACTTGAGTACATACTTTATTACTTCGGATATGCCTATGAGGCCAGTTGCAATATAAACCAGAACCCAGTCAACCTACTGCATTGCTAATCGAGTGTCACTGTGTGTATGGCAGAGCTTACACACAGTCCGGTCAGCCAGCTGGTCATGCCTCCTTGGCCACTAGCAGAGCTGGGCAGAACATTCTGCTGCTGGCAGGACAAGGTGACCACTGCTCATTTGCTGTACAGAATGCATCTAACCCTGCTGTCCTGTTTTTGGTTTTAAAGCCCTGACATGATACGGATCAAGCTCTAAAAAACCCTGCAGTTCACTGTGTTACCTGCAGGAAAGCTTCAAATGGGTTACTCCAAGGACTGCCCCCCTCCACATCAAGCTCTTGAACAGCAGACTAGAGCTTAGTTGTGTACCTGGTTTTGGCACACTAATTTAAAGCAATGTAAAATTGAAGTATGCAAGTTTCGCTGCATCATCTTATGTATATCATTTTTGCAGTGTCGCAGCAGTCTCTGTTAAAGTAGGTATCTTCCCCTGCAATACTAGCACTAAGATCAACAATAGATACTTCACTGACCCAATCCGTATCTTCAGCATGCCACTGAAAAGTTCAGGTGAATTGGAGATGATCCAGCCAATGTGTCTGAACTACAGCTTCTCTTTCATCTTGTAAATGACATTTTTCATAGATGATTTTCTTAATCACTCCTGGGGATAAGGGATTAGAAATAACTTCTTCCTCTTGGCCAAAAGCTCCAAGTGTCACCTGCAGTATATTGAAAACAATTCAGAAGATATAGACAGGAATAAAAGCACCACAGAAGCAGTTCTGAAATGAAACTTCATGAACTCTCCTTTTCTTGTGAAATTCTCACAATTAAAAAAAAAAAAGTCAGTGGCTGATGCTTGTTAATATTGTTAGTTGGATGCTATTAAAATAACAGATTCACCTCAAGCCACAGTAAATACGGAATATATTTGTCCAAATGAAAATAAAAACACAAGCCCACTGTTTAGTTTCAAATCTGGCTGTATAATCATTACTGCACGCTAGGTTTAGATAGCCTTCCATTTCTGACATCTCAGCTATGGAGCTCACTTAAAGTTCCAAATGAGACTGAATGAATGGTTTTGTTTTCTTATTTCTTATAGCATCCCAGAAGTTATAGCCTTCATTTTAAGAAAATATATTGCTGGTACTGGATTGTTTAACCACAAAAAAGGAATTCTGTTAAAAGTATGATTTGCTTTTAATGCTGACAGTAAAACGCAGCAACACTGATTTTTCTCTGATAATAAAGATCATTATTATAAAGGGATCAGTGAAGGCAAGTGAGGTGAAAAAGTTGAAAATAAACAGCTACACATACTGCTGCATGCAGGTGCAGCTTCCTCTACAGCTCTGTGTAGTGCCAGAAGCGCATACCCTGACCTTAATCTGGAGTAAGACAAAGACAAATATGTCATACTAGTGTTGCATATAGGTAAGAATACATACAGATATATTCTAAGACAAAAATATGTAATATTCCATTACTATTATTTGAAAACAGCTCTTCATGAATGTAATTAAAATTGTGCTGGAAGTTAAAAAACAAAAGTCCTCCTTAGGAAAGGAAGAAATGGTGATAATTAAACTTTGTTTGGAATAGAAAAATAAAATCCTGAAAGACTTTGCTCAGCTGTCTCCCTTATATTATCAGAGAGAGTAGCTACATCTTCGTTAAGTAAGTCTTAAAAAGAAGCTTCATTACTTGATTCCATCTACTTTTGTGAAATAAAACGGCATATATATATATAAAAATAATAAATAGAAAGGCATATATATATTATATATACATATATAAAATA